GAATTGGGTTTGTTTTGTTTTTGAGTTTTTTTGCCTTGGTGTTTCTCAAGCTTGTGCATTTTTGAGAAGGCTAACTGAGGCATTTTTTTTCCTTCCTTCTTTTTGGTTCATGGGGTGTTGCTCTGCATCACTGCATGTGGTTTAATCTTTGATTTTCAGCTGGATCAGGACTCATATATATATTTTTTAGGTGGTCAATTGGATGTCCTTAGAAAGATTACAGCGATAATTCGTTTGAGATAATTTGTTGTCCTCTTTTCATTTTGTTTTGGAAAATTGGTTTTCTTTATGTGGGTTTTGGTATCTTGTGATTTAGATCTCAAATTGAGCTCAATTGTCACTAATTGGCTTCAGCAAGTCTCTTGTAGAATGATTTGTTTAGAAAGCTTATTTTGAGACTTGAGACTGTTGTTCAGGCCTATTTTTTTATTAATTTTACCTTTTTTGCTTGTAAACAGAAGTAATGGAATTTATTTTGAAATGTTTTTCTTTCATTCAAGATTCAATATATTGCTAACACAATTTCTTTTAGAGCCACTTTTTTTATATATAAAATTTTATAAAAGATTTTTGAGCCATTTATTACTTCATTCTATGTTACAAGAGGCCATAATTTGGTCAACCAGACTCAGAAAAGTTATTAACAGATCTGATATATGCATCTTCATGAAATTTGCAGATAATGATTGTAGAGCATTCATTTTTGCCAGATTTTGTGGTCAACTATTTGCTTGATAGGCGTATGTGTGTTTTTTCTATGATGCGGATGGTTCTTTACTTTCTTGGTGGTGCAATAGAGTTTATATATTAATTTTGTATTGAAAACCCATTTCATTTTAATTTCTATTTAGTCAAAGATTTTATGTTCCTATTGCTCTGTGTATGTAATTCTTTTAATTAAGAAGAATTGTGTTCCTCATGTGCAGGATTCTCCTGTCTTTAACTACATCAATAGTCTTTCTCCTATCAAGCCAGTTAAGTCTGTACACATTACTCAGACGTTCAGCTCACTCAGTTTTGCATCCCTTCCATCTGTTTTCACTTCGCCCCATGTCAGTGCTCACAAGGAATCCAGATTCCTTAGGAGGTAATTCACTGCTGTATTTCTTTGTACCTTTCTTTTTTACCTTATTCTTTGAGTAAATTATACTTTTTTTTGTTTTCAGGCATAACACTTCAGATCCGTCAAAACCCGAGTCCTCTCTGGAAAGTGGAAATAAAGTCTCTGCAAATGAAGATGCAGCTCAACTTTATATTAACTCAGAAGAGCTACGCGAAGATTGTGTTCCAGGGGTTTCTACAGGAGAAGATTCTGTAGAGCCATCTAGTGAACACTCAAAGTTTGTAATTGAGCTACCACGGAATTTGAAATATGACTGTGGTAGCCCTGACTGTCGCCCAACAACTCGTTGTGGTACTGAGGCACATTGTGAGTTGGAAGTGGCCGATTTGTCCGCCCCACTTGTTCCATATGTTCAAAAGACCTCTGAAGAAGGTTCATCCAATGATGAAGCACATCTACAGATTATATGCCAGACTCTGCAAAGAAAAGAAGGGACATGCTGTGATTGGGAGAGTTTGATTTCTGATGCTGCTGACCTGTTAATTTTTGATTCCCCCAATGGCACCGAGGCTTTCAAGGGGCTGATGCAGAATTCTCTGGACCCTGCAACAAGATTTTGTACTTCTCTTGCGCCGCAGCTCACGCAAAATGACGTTAATCATGAGCAAAACGTGCAAGTCCTTGATATAGTTGGTTCTGGCGGGCAACTTGAAACTGAAGATCCTTCCTCTCAATATGGAGAAGCTAGTCAGCTGGAAAGAACAGAACAGATGGAGGACCATTTAAATAATTGTATGGTTAGCAGTCAAAGTGAGAAAGAAGATAATAAAGTGGAAACACCCATGCAGTTCAATTGTAAGGTATAGTATGCAGCAAGGTTTCCATCACCCACATTTCAGTAACATTTGCATAGATATATAATAAATAAGTAGCTGTTCTCCCTCCCAACCCCCAAAAAAAAAAAAAAACAAAAGAAAAAAAAAAAATAGCCTGCCCTGTAGGTTGTACGGTAAGAGTTGTACGTTTGTTTGTACTAATTTTATGTGTATTTTCTGGTTACCCTCCTGCAGAGCATTTATGCCATCTTGATAGTCCTCTTTAATATCTATTTTCTCTTGCTGATTCTAAAGAGTTGTGACTTGTTTGTTTATATCATTTTCATTACCTTTTTATTTTACTTCTTCGGTTGTACTAATAGTGTTATCTCTGTTGGTGTATCAGCCTGCTGTTTTAAATTTGCAACGTGGCTTGCGAAGGCGCTGTCTAGATTTTGAGATGGCAGGAGCTCGCAGGAAGAGTTTAGATAATGTTTCAAACAGTAGTTCTAATATGCTATCTCAATCTGATGAAAAAATCACCACAAATGATAAGCAACTAGTTCCTATGAAACCCGGTGGTGAATCCTCACGGTGCATCTTACCTGGAATTGGTTTGCACTTAAATGCTCTTGCAAAAACCTCAAAAGACTACAAAATCATTAAGTGTGAAAGTCTGGCTTATGGTAGGCAACTAAGTTTGCCCAACTCCACTGCCGACATTCATTCCCCCACCGGTGGTCAAGGACCTGGTCATGAATCTTTCTCTTCAGCTTCTTCAGAAAGAGACATGGATGGCACTGAAAATGCGGTTCAGCTGGCGCACGATGCTTCCCAAGAACCTTCATTTTTAGCTAATGAAGAGTTCAACCAGAATAGCCCCAAAAAGAAGAGGCATGTGCTGTTGCCTAGATATTCTCCATTAAATTATTGTCCTGTTGATTTTCATTTTTCATGTAATTGGTTAGATTTTTTGTACATTTATCTATCATCTCATAATTTTCATTGGATTTGCAGGCGCAGGTTTGAACATGCTGGAGAAACTGAGTCTTGCAAACGTTGTAACTGTAAAAAATCGAAGTGTTTGAAACTGTAGGTTCATCTCCCTTTTAGTGAAGCCTAAAATTTTTGTTACATCGCTTGCATTGAGATATATGCATCTGGTTGATTAGTCCATTAGAAGTCCCTGAGTTTATTATTTGACTCGTGATACTGTTCATGTAGTTACTGCGAATGCTTTGCTGCTGGTGTCTACTGCATAGAACCATGTTCATGTCAAGAATGCTTCAACAAGCCTATCCATGAAGATACTGTTCTTGCAACTCGTAAACAGATTGAGTCTCGCAACCCACTTGCATTTGCTCCGAAAGTGATTAGGAGCTCAGATTCTGTTCCTGAACTTGGGGTTAGAAAATAAGTCAACTCTTCTCTGTTCTTTTTGCTAGTTGAACTGCAGTCTAACCTGTAAAAGTTGTTTTCACTAGCAGGAGGAATCCAGCAAGACTCCAGCTTCTGCACGACATAAAAGAGGGTGCAACTGCAAGAAATCAAGCTGCCTGAAAAAATACTGTGAATGCTATCAGGTTTTCCCCTCAGCATATTCTGTTTGCTTATAAAATCCTATTTAATCTTATTAACATTTGGTTTTCTTAAAGGGCGGTGTTGGATGCTCTATTAGCTGCAGATGTGAAGGCTGTAAAAACGCATTTGGTAGAAAGGATGGTGAGTGAAGTGCTATGCTTGGCATGCCTTTGATTTCTTATCATCTTTACATTTGTTCCTATGAAGTTCTTCAAGTGTGCTTGCTGATTATCTGTACATTTGCTCCTTATTCTTTTGGAATTCAGGATCTTTTATAGGAACAGAAGCTGAGCTAGATGAGGAAGAAGCAGAAGCATGTGAAAAGAGTGTGGCTGAGAAACATCAACAGAAAATTGAAATTCAGAAAAATGAAGAGCAGCGCCTGGATTCTGCTCTTCCCACAACGCCTTTACGGCTTTCCAGGTTTAATTCTTAAACTATTTGTGGGTTGAGAAGTTGATGTTTCATTGTTATAACATCTCTAATGATACAATTTGTGTTCCAGACAAATGGTTTCACTGCCATTTTCATCAAAGAACAAACCGCCGCGATCTTCTGTTTTTAGCATTGGAGGATCCTCTTCTGGATTGTATACAAGCCAGAAACTTGGAAAACCAAATATTCTGCGACCCGAATCCAAGTTTGAGAGACATAGCCAAACTGTTCCAGAGGATGAAATGCCGGAGATTCTTCAAGGAGATGGATCTCCTAGCACCGGCGTCAAGACTGCTTCTCCCAATAGTAAGAGGGTGTGCCCTCCTAATAGTGACTTTGGGCCATCACCTGGTCGAAGGACTGGTAGGAAATTAATTTTACAATCCATCCCTTCGTTTCCGTCTCTCACTCCCCAGCATTGAGAGCATTGAGATGGTCAGATTTTCGTTGTGGAAAGTAGAACAAAATCTTTTAGTTTGCTTAAAGATAAGTTGTTTAGTTTCTTTCTGTATGTCATTTATTAAGTTAGTTTTCTGTACTTGTATAATAATATGTGGTATGGTATCCTGCTCTCATAATACCCTACTCTTCGTTGTATAATATGGAATTTCAATCTATAGTTCATCTTTTCCTCCCTTTTGTTTCCATGCTTCCCATCTTTCTCTGGCCACTTAACGAAATAACATGTTTAAAAAAATTCTTGTTCCTTTTAGTATAAGATTTTCCCTTAAGCCTCCAGAAAGCTCAGTAAAATATGCACTGCAGCTATAACAACAAATACCTTCTAGCAATAATTATTCTTCATGATTAATCTATTTTCCACATTTAATTTTACCGAAATTTGCAAGTTGTTCTCTGTTTCTTCATTCAACTTATGTTGAATTTAGTGAGTTATTCAATCCAATCCAGATCTTACTCAACCACTGCCCTGAAAGATAAAAGGACAAATCTTTTGACCACCCATTTCATTTCACCAAGCTATATACCTATTATTACTGTATACATTACAATTGGTTACACCTTTTTTTTTCCCTAACAACCAAATTAAAAAAGAAAAGACGATTATATTTAGGTTGAAAATTATTAATCCGATTACCGGATCTTATATGACCAATATAATATCCACGGCTGCTGTTGGGAATGAACGAACGCACTCAGGGCGTCCCCCCCGTAGCCCAAAAAGCGTAAGGGGGAGGGACGCCCAATGCGGGAGTGAGTGAATGACCCAATGTGTGTGGCGGTTGTCAAGGGGAATCCTAAACCTTTTAATCCCCTGAAAGAGAGTGAGGCTCCCCTACCCCACATATGAGAGGATTATTTTGAAAAAAAGAAAGAAAAAGAAAGAAGAAAACTTCGATGTCAGCTTATTTCTCATCCAATACAACAAATCTTGTCCGGCTTTTCTGGTCAGGGTCAATCTCCTACTACTCACTAAAACCCTTTTAAAATTTATTTTTTTATTTTTATTTTTAAATTTTAACCCTGCGGCCTCCTCTTCCTCAGCTTCGCAGTCTCCAGAGCCGCCAGAGCTTCTATTTCTCACAAGCACATCAACCATCCCTGTTTATGCTATGTTCTCTCTAACACCAGTTACAGATCCAGGATTGTTACCCTATAAGGTCATAATGTTAAAGTTCCGATATTCTTTTTAAAATGAAACAATGCAAAAAAATAATAATTTAAAAACACACAAAACTTATTCCAACTAACAAACACATCATTCAATAAATCAAGCTCATGTATGTATTATGTAAGCCATAAATTTCATCAAAATAATAACACCAACCCAAATAATAAATAAACTCACCCAAAAATAACCCAAATAATAAAATACCTTGAATATTAAAAAGAGAAAGAAAAAAAAAGGAATACGGTGAGTGTTGAATCATTGACCTTAAGGTCCATTTCAATTTGAAAACCACTATGGTAAATGATACCTTTATGCTGTTGATGTATGCTTCTAGTATTTATAGGTCTACTCAACAGAATTAAAATAATATTTAAAAAACCCTAACAAATATTTTCCTTTAAAAAAAAATTTATGTCGGCGCATCTTCTTCTCCCTCTATCTTCTTCTTCTTCCTCTCCCCTCCTCTATTTTCTTCTCCCTCTCAACCACTGTCTTCTTCTTCCTCCCTATTTCTTCTCCCTAGCAGTTTGCATCTTCTTCTCCATGGGGTCTTCTCCCATGGCTGCCAAGAGAAACCAAGAACCTCCAAGCCATTTCCAGGGCTGCCATGGGGTCGTCTGACTCCATTGACCCCATGGTGGAACTAACACTACCTCGTCATTCCTCTCTGCTCATAATGATTCGTCTACCTGCACATTCCCAAAACCCATTTGAACACACTCTCTGTTATATCACCAGCCAAAAGTATTTGTTTTTCTCAAAAAAATAAAAAGAAGGGGATAGCAAAAGATGCCAACCCAGATCAGAGTTTACAACGAATCCAACAATGAATCCTGATCAAGATCCAGTAAGTTTGTCGTCTTCAGGTGCGGCCTCTGCCAATGGAGAGACTTTATGACCAAGGCCCTCCGCCGTTTCTGACCAAAACTTATGACATCGCTGATGACCCAACAACCAATAGGGTTTCTTGTAGCAGATACAACGATAGCTTTGTTGTTTTGGATCCCCAGAACTTTGCCATTGTTATGTGCTTCTCCAGGCAGCTCAACACCTGGGTAAGCATGACTTTCTAGGCTGTTCTTGGCTCATTTATGTGATTTATTATTATTATTATTATTTTAAAATTTGGATATTGTATCTATCTTTGATATATTTGTTTAAGGGGTTACTTAACGTGAACAAATGGGAGGATTTCTCATGGGCAAATGCATCTTCTGAAAAATGTCAGGAGGAGGCAGACATCTCACCATCCTCCTCATCAGTCTTCACAGAAAGCGTTTTGGAGTAGAAACTTTTGTCTTTTTTGGGGGTCAACACAAACTTGAAAACGCAATGTAGTTTTTTATTGGATGAGGATAACGACTTGTCGTTCTTTCAATTATCACGCGTGGAAACTTCAAGAGGGCTGACAATTTGGAGGGAAATTCAGTTGCTTCCACAGCCATCTTCTTCTTCTTCCTCATACACATTCTCTCTGCAATTGAAGATTCAAGATGAATTCTAAGGAAATTGCCAATCACCTGCACCAGCAGATGCTGTCATCAGGCACTGCATTACTGGTGATTAACTATTTTTCTCATGATTGCATCTTCTTTTTGAAGTTCTCTTTCCATTGATCAGTTATCCTGAAACCTATAATTTATATGTTGAAGATTTACCTTTACCTTTATCCTGTCTTTCATCTTAAAGATTTCTGTAACTTTTGACAGAGATCTCACAATGTGAACTTTGGCCAGCCTCTGCTTGAGACAGCTCCATTGCGCCCTCACCTTCCACTGCAGTTACAGGTGCTTATTTTTTCTTCTTTTTTAACGTCTCTTCCCATTGATCAATTATCCTGAAACCAACTAATTTATATAGTGAAGATTTACCTTTACATTTATCCTGAATAACTTATTGTTCTTTCATCTCAAAGATTTCTGTATATTTTGACAGAGATCTAGAAATAGGGCTTGTAAGAAAAAAAAAATTCACTCAATATAAGCTGAAAACAGAGTATTGCATTTGTGAAATTCTCTTCCCATTGATCAGAAATCTAGCAAAAGCTTGTAGTCGTTTGAGAACAATGAATTCATTCTTAAATTCACATTAGCTTTTCATATATGTCTCTAATATGTTTTCCACTTGTCGTCATTTAGCTTCAATCTTAGGCTCAAAGATTACTTGGTTATAGTTTATACCCAATTGTATCAACCGAAAATCCTCTCTTGTATTAACTTGTAATTGTCAAACCAAAAGGAAAAATAAAAATAAAAAATTTGTTTGAATGAAAGCTGTCTTTGGAGAAAATGATATGCATGTTAATAAAAAATGAAGATTCTTAAAGATTATGATTATATGTTTTTATTGTATGAAATCTAGAAATAGGACTTGGAAATATAAGCTGAAAACAGAGGATTGCATCTTCTTTTTGAAACTCTCTTCCCATTGATCAGAAATCTAGCAAAAGTTTGTAGTCGTTTGAGGACAATGATTCATTCTTAAATTCACATTAGCTTTTCATATATGTCTTTAATATGTACTCCACTTGTCTTCCTTTAGCTTCAATCTTAAGCTCAAAGATTACTTGGTCATAGTTTATACCCAATTGTATCAATCATAAATCCTCTATTGCATTAACTTGTGATTGTCAAACCAAAAGGAAAAAAAAATGTTTGAATGAAAGCTGTCTTTTGGAATGATATGAATATTAATAAGAAATGAGTCTATGGTATTTTGATTGATTGAAAGCTAACTTCAATCTTTAAGGTATGAATGTTCCAAAGTCGTCTCTTCTATTTGCATGGCTAGTTTGGCCCGAACACCTAATAAAAATAGTAATGGCACGTAGGAAGTTCATCCCAAATGGCCCCCCAATCAAACACCCCCGACAAGTTGGGTAGTTTTATGTAATTAACCCCTTTTTAAAATATAATTTTTTAGAACTTGGAAGAAAAGGTATGAACTTCCTACGTGCCATTACTATTTTTATTAGGTGTTTGGGCCAAACTAGCCATTCAAATAGAAGAGACGACTTTGGAACATTCATACCTTAAAGATTGAAGCTAGCTTTCAATCAATCAAAATACCATGGACTATTTCTTATTAATATTCATATCATTCCAAAAGACAGCTTTTATTCAAACATTTTTTTTCTCCTTTTGGTTTGACAATCACAAGTTAATACAAGAGATGATTTATGGTTGATACAATTGGGTATAAACTATGACCATGTAATCTTTGAGCCTAAGATTGAAGCTAAAGGAAGACAAGTGGAGTACATATTAAAGACATATATGAAAAGCTAATGTGAATTTAAGAATGAATTCATTGTCCTCAAACGACTACAAGCTTTTGCTAGATTTCTAATAAATGGGAAGAGAGTTTCGAAAAGAAGATGCAATCCTCTGTTTTCAGCTTATATTTCCAAGTCCTATTTCTAGATTTCATACAATAAAAACATATAATCATAATCTTTAAGAATCTTCATTTCTTATTAACATTCATATCATTTTCTCCAAAGACAGCTTTCATTCAAACAAATTTTTTATTTTTATTTTTTATTTTGATTTGACAATCACAAGTTAATACAAGAGAGGATTTATGGTTGATACAATTGGGTATAAACTATAACCAAGTAATCTTTGAGCCTAATATTGAAGCTAAAGGATAACAAGTGGAGTACATATTAAAGACATATATGAAAAGCTAATGTGAATTTAAGAATGAATTCTTTGTCCTCAAACGACTACAAGCTTTTGCTAGAATTCTGATCAATGTGAAGAGAATTTAAAGATGCAATCCTCTGTTTTCAGCTTATATTGAGTGAAATTTTTTTCTTACAAGTTCTATTTCTAGATCTTTGTCAAAAAATACAGAAATCTTTGAGATGAAAAAACAATAGGTATTCAGGATAAAGGTAAAGATAAATCTTCACCATATAAATTAGCTGATTTCAGGATAATTGATCAATGGGAAGAGAAGAAGAAAAAATAAGCACCTGTGACTGCAATGGAAGGTGAGGGCGCAAGAGATCTCAAATGCACCTTATCCAAGGTTGTCAATGAATGGCTGTGTACTTCTTTAAAAATGAAATATTTGTTTGACTCCTGACGCTTCACAACTCCAATCCTAGCCTTGCAATCTAGTCATACTCTGCATCTTTTTATTACCTTGCATTCCGCCTTCGGGTCTACAATACATACCTTGTTTAGAAAATATACATGTTCTTTCCTTTTTTATCTCACCTGTGTTTATATCCTTTTTACTTGAATGAATCCTACCATCTCTGCATAATTATTATAGAAATTATAAACATCTTGAAGTGATATATGAATCGAAGTCTTTCCCCATTTATGGTATGAACTGATTATCGATCGAGTTTGGGTATGAAGAATGTCGGGATCCACACCATCACCATCTGCATCACTTGTAAACATATTTTGGTATGAACCTGAAAATGACTTCAATTTAATACCACTTCAGCATATTCAATTCCCTTTACCAGTACAATTAAAATTATGGATGGCAAAGCCAAATAAATCACAATATATGATAACTATCATTCTTTAAAATAATAAAAAATTCATCATCATTCTGTTTGGACACATCAAATACATGTGAGTTTGTTGTCCATTTTTAGCACGTAAATTTCATGTGAAATTTTTGTGCAAAGTTTGTGGATTAATACAACTTACAAGTTGGGTCTAAATTTAGACTGTGCGTTGTGATTACGTACAAGCATTTGTGTTCCATATACATTATGCAGCACCTTATTTTATATCACAACACTCTTTTTTTCGCATTTTTTTTAACAGATACATAATAATGCACGTATGCATCTGTCTGTGTATGTGAATTTTGGTACATTTGGTGGTCTATTGCTGTAATTATGTTATGACATAAACGGCTTCGTTTCTTTGTAATTTAATTATATGTTTCTTAGTATTCAGTTAAATTATCATATAAAATGACTGCTCGACATTCCAACAGAGAAAACATGTTTCACATAGGTTGGAATCCAGCAAATCATAAATTGAACTTAACTATGGATGGTCATTCAATCCACTTTCTGTAACCAAAGGCAAGCCATTTTGATTCAAATTCTGATGTTGTATCTATATCCCATATGCAAGCATTAAAATTCGAGAATCTCTTTCTGAGCGTGGGTGGATTTATCTTTTCAGAAAATTTGTTCAAAATATGTCATATGCGCATAATCTATGACATGTAGTTGCAATGGCGGATTCAAGAATTTTTATGGGGGTGAGCTAAATTTGTTTTTTTTTGCGATATTTATTATAACGGTGGTTTTTTTTTTACCCATATAACAGTGGTTATGGTTAACCATCATCATATAAGCCAAGCTTTAGGAAGTAAAGGTAACTTAAAAGAAACAAAAATTCAAAAAAGAACACAAAAGAATCTCAGAGGAATTGAAAAGTTTAGAAATTTAGTAAAAGGCTTCGTGTCTAAATTCAGAATGGAGCTTCAGAAAGTAGAAATTGAAAGAAATATATGAGAAATAATAGAAGTATCGAGATGAGCTCTGATACCATCATAACAATATGGATTGAGCAGAAGAAAGATTATAGCAGAAAAATAATTACAGAGAAAACCAGAACCTCATGTGTTTATATTTGTATCTTTAATCTCCAGTAAACAATTTAAAGGTTTTCATGAAAAAAAAAATTATCAGAAAATAATGAATTGCAATAGACAAAATGGAGTAGGACAAAGAGGAAATTATCATTTACCTTTCTAATAAACAACCCATTATATTACCTTTATAGAGCAAGTGAGGCCTTGCTTTGGGAGGTGGTGAGGCCAATATGAGCACATATCAACAACATTTGTTATATTAAAAGTATTTATCTTTATAATAAAAATGTATCACACGAACTCCAAAGTTACTTCATATGGATTTCAATCAATCTAACAGTTGGGATTATACAGAGATGGACTTATTTCTAAATAAAGGTGTAGACTAATATTTGATTTACCTAGTTTGGGCTTGGACAACTTAACCTAAGTTGTATATTCTAAAAATTCAGCATTGGGTTGGAGCCCACTCCAGCCCACAGTTAGATCCGCTTATGTGTAGTTGGAAGAACTTGCACAATCGCCTTTGATATGGCTCATCAACATAAATTTTATAATTTTTTTTCTTTGGTTTATTGCTGACATATACATCATGTAATCCATATATAATATATGACTATAAATAAATATAGACTCAAAATGCATAAATTGAAAACAGCAGCACATGAATTTACTGTCCCAAAAAACACTCTACAATCATTTTCATTTTGAGGGGGAAGGAAGCCATTGTTCTTCCTCCTCTCTCTCTCATCCTCCCTTCCTCCCTTCTTCTCTTCTTCCCAATTTTGTAATGATTTTACTCCACTCATCACAAACGGATGCGTTTCGGTATTGGATCTCCATCTGCATTTCGGTGTCGGATCTCTACCACCATCCTTTTTGTAGTTTCTTTATGTTTGGAATAAGTCGCATAGACTCTTCGAGTTTTTTGTGTAGTTTTTACCTCTCTTTTGTGAGAGCTTTTCACATCTCCTTTGTGATAGTTTTAATTGCATTTTTATGGCTTAGATTTTTCAAGCTTTATCTATTTTTGGTTATTCTTAGTTTGCAATCTTAGTTGGGATGTCTATGCCAAATTTCTTGCTTGATCGTTAGTAGAGGAGCCCTAGATTGTCTTAATTTTGATGTTAGATCGCTCAATTATTGTAATGGCTCTTTGTGGTTAGTTATTTTTCTGATTGAATTGTGAATGTAATTCCATAATTTTTAAATTTTAAAAAAAATATAAGGCTAAAATGTAATAATATTATCGAACTCAATGAGCAGTCATAACTTTAGTAGTAGAGTAATTTCATTCATAGCTCCTGCAATAGTTTAGAGCTCTATGATTGTACCCACTAGAAAGCAAATAGAGCACTAGTTATTAGGAGGCGATGGTTCTGTTGATATACATGCAGGTAAACCAAGCATAGTAGGTCGTGTGAAATAATGTGACAAATATGGGTGGCACATGGGTGAGCATGAAGAGTGGT